GACCAGAGTACAATTTAGAACTGCTCTACACTACAGCCTTTTGTACCTACCTGCCATGGGATCTTACACCAGGATAGACTAGCTCTAGCCACATCCCCTGCCTGCCACTCTCAACCAATCCTCTATGTCAGGAACCAGGACAGGAGGTCAGCACAGAGCGATTACACACCAGCTCTATGACTGCCCCTACAATCGAGATATTCTGCTGGGCCACTGAAAGCCTTCATTATGTCCCCTTAATGCTGATGGAGCAGAGTAAGTGGCTGCTTCATAAGGCACAATCTGGCCATTAATATTTAATGTTTATGCCCATGACATTCCAGGGTGAGAATACAAAGTGAAGGATAAAAATAACATTTCCCAATATTTATCTTGTCTCCTTTGAAGGCTTCTCCACTGATTTTAATTAGACTCTCCCTTAGCACGATAAGGCAATTTAAAAAATAGTAAATCAAACATGATCTTTCTCACCTAGTAGGTATAGTCTCCAAGCTCTCACACTTCTTGTCTTTTACACTTCATATAAATATAAAATGACTAGACTGCAAATCACCATTTAAATTCAGCTATTTGCTTGGTATTATTGGACCGTAACCAGTGAAATGCTTTAAAACTATACAGATTATAAATAAAAACCTCTGCATCTCACACTTGCCTAATTCCAGCAGCCAGCAAATCCTGTTTCTTTGAATCATCTTTATTCTTAGGTGGATACTGCAGCTCAGCCAATGGTTTGCCAACAACTGCCTTTCTCAGGCCCACTTTCTATAAATAAAGAAAAGGAGTACTTGTGGCACCTTAGAGACTAACCAATTTATTTGAGCATGAGCTTTCGTGAGCTACAGCTCACTTCATCACGAAAGCTCATGCTCAAATAAATTGGTTAGTCTCTAAGGTGCCACAAGTACTCCTTTTCTTTTTGCAAATACAGACTAACACGGCTGTTCCTCTGAAACCTTTCTATAAATACTTAATCAAGAACCAGGGTTTTTGCCATTCAATTAATATGAAGCACAATGTCTTACACACATTGCAGCACAGTTATGTGCAATGAAGTACTCAACTATTTGGATTCATGAATACAATCCTAAAAAAAAAAACCTATTTAAAAACAAACTAGTGACTGGAAAGAACCACATCTGAAAACTTCCCAGCTTCTAGAGAAAAGTGCAAAATCCAAACCCAGACCTTGCCACTAACTACTATCTGTAGAACAGGTCAAATCAAAGCCCTGAATCAGAATTTTTCAGGGCCAGATATGGAGCGTAATTGTGCAACTTGGCCCCAACTCTGGATTATACACTAATGGTCATTACCGAGAAGCACAGAACTAAATATTCCTGCACAGAGCAAATTACTGGACTTAAAGAGTTTTAAATGACACAGAAAAATAATTTAGTTCAGCCTCCATCCCTCTCACATCACCCATGCACTTGAATCCAGCAAATTAGCCTGTTCAAAGATGCCTAGTAATTTACATATGTTAACTAGTCCTGTAAAAAGTGCTTAGGGTATCTCAAAGAGATGTTGGATGCAGATAAGTGGGAACAAATTCCCATCAAACACAAAAACCGAGCAGTGAACATAGGAATCACATAAATGTAGGAATGGAAGGGACTCAAGAGGTCATCTATTCTAGACCATCCCCCCCATACTGAGGCAGGATAAAGAAAGAAAAAGAGGTACACACAAGATTGCTAGTGGGATTCACTATGAAAAAGAGACCCACAATATCATGAAAATCAGCTGTATCTTTGTGTAATGTTCCCAGTCGATAAAATATCTTTAATTTCCAAACAGAGAAACACCTTTAATTTCCAAACAAAGAAATACTGGGTAATATTAATGCATCCTTTTGGGGCTGTTTCTAAAAAGATCAGTTTAAGCCTCAGATATTTGACAAACAGCATCAAAATGGATGATTATTGGGAATTTTAATACTTCTAGGGGATGTCCTTTCAAAAAAAATATAACTTTGTATTAACACTGAGGGGCAAATTTTGATCCCCTTACGCATGTTTAGTAGCACCACTAGACCCATGAACTTCAATGGGAGTATTTGCAGATTAACCTCATCAGAAGTATCATAATCTGTCCATGAATGATTATGAAAGAGAACAGTGTAGTCTAGTGGCTGAGCAGAGCCCTGATTCTGACACCAGCTTCTGCCAAAACTTTCAACAAGTCACTTACATCCAATCCACAAAGGTATTTAGGTGCCTAAACCTCAGATTTAGGCACCTAAATCTCAGGCTCCACTGTGATCCACAGAATTCCTGCCAAATACTGAAGGTACCTAAACTCATCCAGCGCCTATGTTTTCAGGGTAAAAGTTCCCTAGGTGCCTATGTTTCTGCCTCTGGGCATACACACTGCTCCCTAACTCTACACACATTCAGTCATACCTGCCACATAAGCCCCAGAGCAATCCACAAACTGGGGGGAAATAGGTGTTTGCACATATCTCACATGCTGGCCCTGATCCAGAAGGCATGCTGAGGCTGCCTCTTGGATCAGCTCCCATTAAATAGCTGGCTAAAGTCAGAGAAGGTTGTGATGCTGGTGATGTGTACCTTGTAACTTTCAGCCCACTGGTTAGATCACCCATTTGTGATATGGGACAACCAGGTTCAATTTCCCCCTCTGCCCATATGGGAAAATCACAGAAATGTAGGGCTAGAAGGGACCTCAAGAGGTCACCTAGTCCAGACCCCTGTGCTGAGGCAGGGCCAAGTAAACTTAGACCGTCCCTAACAGGTGTTTGTTTAACCTATTATTGAAAACTTACAATGATGGAGATTCCACAACCTCCCTTAGCAGCCTATTCCTGAGCTTAAATACCCTTCTAGTTAAAAAGTTTTCTCCATATCTACCCAAAATCTCCTTTGCTGCAGATTTAGCCCATTACTTCTTGTCCTACCTTCAGGGGACATGGAGAACAATTGATCACCGTCCTCTTTATAAAAGCCCTTACGTTTCAAGACTTATCAGTTCCCCCTCAGTCTTTTTTTTCTCAAGACTAACATGCCAGTTTTTTTAACCTTTCCTCAGAGGTCATTTTTGTAGCTCTCCTCTCGACTTTGTCCAAATCTTTCCTAAAGTGTGGCACTCAGAACTGGATACAGTACTCCGGATGAGGCTTCATCAATGAACAGAGTGTGACAATTACCTCCCATGTCTTACATATAACACTCCTCTTAATACACCCCAGAATTACATTAGCCTTTTGAGCAATTGCATGACATTGCTGGCTTATAGTCAACTTGTAATTCACTATCACCTTTTTGGCAGTGCTACTACCTAGCTAGTTATTCCCCATTTTGTAGTTGTGCATTTGACCTTTCCTTCCTAAATGTAGAACTTTGCACTTGTCTTTAGTCAACAAGATGAAAGTCAATAAACACCAGTTCTCCAATTTTTCAAGGCCAATTTGAATTCTAATCCTGTCCTCCAAAGTGCTTACAATCCCCCCTGCAAATTTTGTAAGCACACTCTCCACTCCATTATCTAAATCATTAATACAAATATTGACTACTTACAGACCCAAGACAGACCCCTTCAAAACCCCACTAGATACATTCTCCTAGTTTGACAGCAAACCATTGATAACTACTATGAGTATAGTTTTTCAACCAGTTATACATCCACCTTAGAGTAATTTCATCTAGTGTACATTTCCCTAGTTTGTTTATGAGAATGTCATGTGGGACTGTGTCAAAAGCCTTACTAAAATGAAGATATATCACATCTACAGCTTCCCCCACATTCAGTAGGCCAGTAACCCAGTCAAAGAAGGAAATTAGATTGGCTTGGCATTTGTTTTTAACAAATCCATGTGGGCTATTATTTACCTCCCAATGGCTAGCTTAGGTGGCTTCCCACCTAGTGTGCTGGCTTTTGCGTATTGCATTCTTAGGTGCTTATTTCTCCCCATTTATTGTATCGGGAGTCTAGGCAATGGCTTTGTGGATCACCATGGTGTTCCTGTGATTTTCTAGTTGCCTAAAAGTTAGGTGCCATGACGCGAAGTGGTGCAACGCCCAAGTCCCTTTGTGGATCTGGGGCTAAAATTCTAAAGAGCCTGGCCCTTGCCACCTCCAAAGCTGTGCAAGCAGATGCACACACTGCACTAGGAAGTGGAACACTTGATAGTTGCTAGAGTAGCTGTAGCAATGGGGATAGGGGAGAGAACCCAGTAGGGCTCTCCCACAACTTACTGTGAAGTGCGGGAGAGAGAGAGACCTGGGCCAGTCTTCCCATGTAAACTCCCAGGACATTGCCCCAGGAGACCATTCCCTGCAGTGGGATAACAGCCTTTTCTGACCTCCAACTAATGTAGTTAGTCCTGCAGTTCAAGTGGTAACAATGAGCACTGAAGTTTCAGAGTTCAACCCTGCTGAGCATGCATGATATGGAGATTGTTACAGCTGTACTTCACAGAATTTGTTTGCATCTTTTTCCTTTTTTAAAAATGTAGAAAATTAGATTAAGAAAACAACATTAAAAGAAAGTTACTTAGGTTGCAAAATCAAGCGCTTCAAAGAAATGCTAGAATATAGGTTGCCCATGCAACCCTCATTCTACCTCCTTGGGCATACGTGTTATGATACAGTTTTTAATTATATGATCACATGCTATTTTTCTCAGAGGACCCTTATGTCAAGCTGTCCTGCAACAACTCAAGAGCATGAGTACCAACCTGAGGGCAGACTGTTAAGAGCCAGGACACAAACCCCAGATTGGCTGTGAGTTCTATATTTAGATTTCACCAACCAAGTATTAAGTGTAAACTCCTCAGGCACTAAAACAGCCTAGCCGTGGAAGTATTCTGATCTATCTTGTCAACTAGGCAAACTTACCTTTTGGTATCAGATAGATGGTCTCTTGCACCACAGATCACAACAACATTCAGGTTACTTCCAGTCCCAAAGGACCAGTCACTTACCCCAGGTCAATTGCACGTTTGATCTCACACCAAAGACAACTCTTGTAGACAATCCTATAATAAACTAAATATTTATTTAAAAGGAAACGAGAGTTATTTACAAAATTAAAGCAGGTAAACATATAAAATTAATAGAAGCTTCTATAAGCAAGCTCTATATGTCCTTTAGGGCTAACCCAGGCTACATACTGTATATCTTGCTTATGCCTAGACAACCTTGTCCTCAAGAGTCCAAGAGCCATAGAGATGCAGTTCCTCCTTGTTCGGCCTTTTTATTCTTTTCCCCCTTCTGCTTCAAATTGCAACCTCAGCTGATGGGAGGAATTCACATACATTTCTCCTCTTCATGGGCAGGTGAGGGAGGAATGGGAGAGCCATCAGCAAAGTCTTTTGTTCTCTGTTGTTCCACAATAGCTCTGGTGTTGATGGGCCTTCTTTGTTGGGCAGGTCACAACATCTTCTGCCAGAGACTAGTATTTCACACAAATTAAAGCTTCTCTCCTGTCTGGTGATTTACACAGTTACAGAGGCTTATAATGTAAATGCTCAAATATTACCTTGCAGTACGGAGATGTTATAACTGAGATTAATGCATGCAGCAACTCACAAGCATTCAATGAAGTCTAAACAATAAGCACATTTCTGTAACTCTAACACCTATTTTAACACAAAAGTGAACCAGACTGGTTCCAGCTATGTATTTGTCAGTATTCAGTTGAGGCGGGGGACCCTGGCATAAACTGATACATGGTTTGCCAGCATCACAACCTGCCTCATTCAAGGCACAGGATGGATGTACAAGGGGACAGAAGTAAGACTGTATGGACAACAGTAAATCTGGCATTTCCTAATTTTCAAGTCTTTGACTTTGCAACCAAAATAACTTATTTTAACAGTTTTTGTAAATTATTATTATTGTTAGACTAACTCAACTAAGGCAGTTAAAACATCCCCTTTTTTTTGTCTTATGACTGTCCCTTATATTTATTTGCAGAGATTACAATGAATGTTGTCGTAATCAGGGATAAAGTTAGAACATTTCAAATAATAGCAGCATATATGAATTTCTGGTGATTCACTATGCTCATGTTTTTCCAGGGGAAGAGGAGGAAATTATGCAATGTTTAGGAAAGATACCAGCTTGTCCCACGTTCTAACAGACTACTCCCAGCAACTGTAAGTAGGGGTTTAACAATCCAATTCCCATTCAGAATAAAGTGGTAAAATCCTAGGCAGCAATTTGAAAATCTCCCCTTAGGTCTTCGCCTTATAGTACAGTTCCCTGTACTGTAAACACCTGCCACTGTAAACTTTTATTCCACAGACACAAAAATTACTCTCCCCTGACTATACTGTACCTGAGAAAGTGTATGAAAGTAGTATAGGAATGTACAAATTTGAATAATCTATATATTACATTTTCCTAATAGTCTTGTTCAGTTCACTACTAATTAAGCACATTGTGCTGAGAAAAATAAACATGTACCTATTTTACTAGGTAATCAGTAGATGTTTTTATGGCTCTGCCATAAACTAAACTGTAAAGAGGAACTATGCTCTCAACCTGTCCATGAAGATGAAATAAGTTAAAAAAAAAGGCATTCAGCATTTCCCCATTTTATAAACCAACCATGACATCTTCTTTCACAGATCTACTTACTCCTTCATATAACAATTGAGCTAACTTTTGAATGCCTTTGCCTGCCACCCTCAATACTCCTAACTATACCATACTACCAGGTACTATGCAGCCCAGATTCATTGTTGTACATGTAAATTAATCTCTACTATTAATAATAACCCAAGGCCCCTGTGATGGGATAGTGAATACCAGGTCAGAGAGCTCTCCCTCCTGTATTGGGTTTGGGTTCTTTTTTTAATTTTTAACGAGGAAGGGTTTTTAGGGACAAGAAGACATTCAGATTTACTCCTGAGGACTGAGCTGTGTAGAGCACTGAGCTATACCTTGGTGTAAAGGTCTCTGTGAGTGGAACTTCTGAAGTGGAGAAATTATTTTAAGATATTATCTAGTCTCTTTTTTTTTACTTTTGTACTGTAACAGGAAAACCCTATATGACCTCCTATGTAAATATACTATCTTCCCAGCTCCCAGCAAACCTCAAGTCTGTTTCTCACTTGCCTCCCTTTCCCTTTGTGAGGTGCGATTTGCAATTCCTGTTTACAGCAGCCTGTAACACCACATTATGTCAGGCATTAAAGACCATGGCTCAGATCCTCAAAGGTATTTAGGTACCTTTGAGGATATGGGCCCATGTTCCCAGGGAGCTAATTTGGTTTGTTTTCAGCAAAAAGATAGGGAAGCATAGCTGGGCTGAAATGAAAGGCACCAGTGAAAAAAACAGGATGTAGTTTCTCATTGATAAATGATGGCTGTGGCTTTAACTGTGTGGCCTGATGAGATAGGTAGACACCATAAAAACTCACAGGCTCTCAATCTCATGAGACTCATACTGTGTGAGAGGACTTCTAGAGAGCTGACAGAATAGCTACGGTAGTAGCATGACTCTTGTCTATGAGTAAGGTCAAGAAATCATCTGGGCCTCTTTCCCCCCCTTAATTAAGCCATCCTTGTTTGAAAAATGTTAAATCTGGCTCTATTATTAACCAGTGCACCCAACAAGTTGCCATGGTGCCTCAAGCCTTTTTGATCTCACCAGAGTTTGTCACATAAGGGATTAAAGAAGTAATGCTACAAAACAGAACTCCCTCTACTTTCTGTTCTTGTATTCAAATCCATTCATTCCTTTTCCCTTTTAATCAAAGCTTGCAGAAAATGATAGGGGATACCCAGATCTATATGCCTTTCTGATACTACTCAGACTACCTGCTATTTTCCTGAAGAAGAGTTTGGTGTAAGTTTGTCTCTCTCACCAACAGAAAAGGTAAAAAGATATTACTTTGTCTTTCCAATATCCTGGGACCAACACTGCTACAACAACACTGCATTTTCCAAAAAGGCTGTTTTAAAGTTAAAAAGTTAACAAAATAGTTTGCTGCACCATAAGTGAGGCATACCCAGCTCCAGTGATCCCTTGCAGTCCCCTCAGCAAAGAGATCTCCCAGTTTACAATGGCTCATCTATCAAACTTAAAATGTGTACTGAGTCTAAAGATACACTTCTATTACTTCAGCACTATCTACCTATATGAAGATGTATAATCACCCTATGGCAGTGGTTCTCAAACCTTTATACTGGTGACCCCTTTCACATAGCAAGCCTCCGAGTGCGACCCCCCCCCCTTATAAATTAAAAACACTTTTTTATATATTTAATACCATTATAAATGCTGGATGCAAAGTGGGGTTTGGGATGGAGGCTGGCAGCTCTCAACCCCCCATGTAATAACCTTGCGACCTCCTGAGGGGTCCCAATCCCCAGTTTGAGAACCCCTGCCCTGTGGGATAAGCGTGAACTGTTGGACTAGTTCGTTATCTATGAAATTTAAGATCTGGTTGTGTGATTCTGTGCTGAGGCTTTTTGTGGGAGCATAGTTTTAAAAAATACAATAATGGAAAAATAATTCAGAAGAGAGGTCTTCTAGAGTTAATGCAAATAAGCATCAAGAAAAGTGAGAACTGTAATGCAATATTAATTCCAGGACAGGAAGCTCCAGTATTTCTCTACATAATCACATAGGCACTGACTTCCCCTCCTTTCCGTGGGTGCTTGCCCCCACTTCACCCCTTCCATGAGACCCCACCCCTGATCTGCCTCTTCCCACCATTTCCATAAAGTCCCCGCCCCAACTCCATCCCCTCCCTGCCCCTATTCCAACTCCTTCCCCAAATCCCCGGCCCCGCCTCTTCCCCACCTCCTCCTCTGAGTGTGCCATGTTCCCACTCCTCTCTCCCCCCCTCCCGGAGCATGCAAACAGCTGTTTGGCGGTGGCTGGGCGGGAAACACTGGGAAGTAGGCGGAGGAGCAGGTAGCGAGGAGGTGGAGGTGGGGTGGGGTGTGAGGGGAGCACCCACTAATTTTTCCCATTCAAATATATATATTTGTTCTAAGAAGAACCAGAAAATAATTTATCCACTCCAACTTGCCTCACAATTTCAATAGCTTCTAAGACCATGTTAGCATAATACTTCCCAGGGTTTTTTTTTAACAAATTTGTGCAATAATTTCTTGATTTAATCCTTTGTTTTAATCTGAAACCTCACCTGTCTGGAATTGTGGTTCCAGGTGGTAGACAGCAATCCCTTATCCCTGCAAAATGAGAAAGTTAATTTGGACACACATTGTTGGAAGCCCCATCCATCCACACTAATAAATATTCTGACATGGTAGTTTTCATAGAATCATAGGACTGGAAGGGACCTCGAGAGGTCATGTAGTCCAGTCCCCTGCACACATGGCAGGACTAAATATTATCTAGACCATCCCTGATAGGTGTTTATCTAACCTGCTCTTAAAAATCTCCAATGATGGTGTCATAAATATAAAGGGAAGGGTAACCTCCTTTCTGTATACAGTGCTATAAAATCCCTCCTGGCCAGAGGCAAAGTCCTTTTACCTGTAAAGGGTTAAGAAGCTCAGGTAACCTGGCTGGCACCTGACCCAAAATAACCAATGAGGGGACAAGATACTTTCAAATCTGGAACGGGGGGGAAGGATTTTGTCTGTCTGTGTGATACCTTTGCCGGGAACAGATCAAGGATGCAAGCCCTCCAACTTCTGTAAAGTTAGTAAGTAATCTAGCTAGGAAATGCGTTAGGTTTTCTTTGTTTTGGCTTGTGAAATTCGCTGTGCTGGAGGATATGTATATTCCTGTTTTTGCGTCTTTTTGTAACTTAAGGTTTCGCCTAGAGGGATTCTCTATGTTTTGAATCTGACTGCCTGTAAGATTATCTTCCATTCTGATCTTACAGAGTTGTTCTCTTATCTTTTTTTGTTCTTATAATAAAGTTCTGATTTTTAAGAATCTGATTGGGATTTTTGGGTCTTAAAAATCCAAGGCTGGTTTGTGCTCACCTTCTCTATTCTCACGCCTCCCCAGAAAAGGGCGTGTAAGGGCTTGGGGGGATATTTTGGGGAAATAGGAACTCCAAGAGGTCCTTTCCCTGTTCTTTGTCTAAATCAATTGGTGGCAGCATAGTGTTCAAAGACAAGGCAAAATTTGTGCCTTGGGAAAGTTTTTAACCTAAGATGGTAAAAATAAGCTTAGGGGGGTTTTCATGCGGGTCCCCACATCTGTACCCTAGAGTTCAGAGTGGGGAGGGAACCCTGACAGATGAAGATTCCACAACCTCGCTAGGCAATTTATTCCAGTGCTTAACCACCCTGACACTTAGGAAGTTTTTCCTAATGTCTAGCCTAAACATCCCTTGCTGCAATTTAAGCCCATTGCTTCTTGTCCTATCCTCAAAGGTTAAGAACAATTTTTCTTCCTCCCTCCTTTTATGTACTTGAAAACTGTTATGTCCACTCTCAGTCTTCTCTTTTCTAGACTAAACAAACCCATTTTTTTCCACCTTCCCTCATAGGTCATGTTTTCTTGACCTTTAATCATTTTGTTGCTGTTCTCTGGACTTTCTCCAATTTGTCCACATCTTTCCTGAAATGTGGCACCCAGAACCGGACACAATTCTAACAAGTTTTCACACAGGTTATTACAGACCTGTACTGCAAAGGTAATAGCAGCTAGCTACTTTTCCCATGAAGCCACAATTCTTGACCAGTCACACTTGTTGCACACTCCTTTCAACACTTGTACCTGCAACTGAATGCTAATTAGACATCTTCTAAACATCTGTCGTGTGCATTAGTATGAAGAGTGCTGGCTGTTGCTCTGACACTTAGTTTTATTAGAGACACAAGTTGGGTGAGGCAATATCTTTTATTGAACCAAACTCACTAATTTAATTAATTAATATTCTGCAGGTATTGAGGCTGGAAATTGCTAGTACATAACATAAGTGCTCTGGTTCTAAACTGTTCCACTGATTGACTTGAAACAACTCCAAGACGGAATTATTCTGCTGCTCAGCAATAGCTCACACACAAACTTGGATCTCAGAATCTGCTTTTTTTCTTCCTGAGAGTCATGTTGGCCAAGAGGAGAGCAGGATTTTGCCCCCTGCAGTTGTATTTTAAATAACACCAGGAAGCCTATAGCTTCAAGGACAGTCCACCAGAACTGCCAGAGCTGAGGAAAGTCTAACATAAAGGATAACACTTACAGTATTGTTGCATTACACCTATCTAGGCCATGTACTGCATTATAAACATTTTCTGTGCTATGACTAATAGATGGTCATATCTTTTCGGTCAGTTAACACCACCGAAATTAGCCACCAGGTATTTATCTTACCCCATTGTAATATAACACTAGGATTGGGAGGGTTAGATTTTTATTAGTAAATTAATAAAGGTTGATTTCACAATACACATACAAACCAACAAAAATATTTCCATCAATACTAATTGAAGTTTACAGATAAGTAAAGTAAGCAAAATGCGGCTTGACAAATGACATATAATGTTAACGATCCATTATTTGCACATGACAAGAGGAAAGCTTACCCAGGTGTCTAACTTATCAAACAATCCATAACATGAGCTTTGATTTCTTTTAAAAATCTATGATTATAGAACACTTTCTTCCTAGGTTATGAAGAAAATTTTCCAAATGTGAATCATTACAGAGCTGTCTTCCCAAGTCTGCAAGCAGACTGCTCTGTATCTCCACTGCTGATAGTTTGGTCAAGCAGCAGAAACTGACAAGACTCTAGCCAGTATCGCCTTGCTATTCAGAACCCTGTGGGTAGCTAGCAGTGAAACAATCCAGAAGCACGCTGGTTCCACCTTGCTGCTACTTTGGAAAACCATGAAGAGTAGCAAAGGCAGGTAATGGAACTATTCACCATGGAGAACACCCCCAAACACAAACAAAAGGAGGCTCGGGGTGCAGACCCATTCCCCCTCTTCCCAAAAATGGAGGTGAAAGAAGTGGAAAGTGAGCTACTTCCTTCTAGGACCTTCAAACATGACTTTTGTTAACCAGGCAAAGATGGTGATTGAAGACAGCACTCTGGTAGGAATCTAAGGGCTTGTCTACACTACCACGCAGGGTCGATCTAAGGTATGCAACTTCAGCTACATGAATAACGTAGCTGAAGTCAACGTACTTAGATCTACTTACTGCAGTGTCTTCACTGTGGTAAGTCGACAGCTGACGCTCTCCCATCAACTCCGCTTGCGCTCCTCGTTCATGGAGTACCGGAGTTGACAGAAGAGCGCTCGGCGGTCGATTTATCATGTCTATACTATACTATATCACTGCCCGCCGATCTGGCAGGTAGTGTAGACAAGCCCTAATATGCCCCTTTCCTGCACCTGGAGCAAAAGTGGGACTTCACCATGGCATCACTTTTGGATCTCCCTGGCAAGGGTTCCCTTTTTCATCTTTTTTATTGCCTCTGATTAATAGTAAATGTCCAGTAAACTCTTTGGCATTAGTGGCTTAGTGAACTGCATGCTGCAATTCATTTGGCTGTCTAATATAGACCCGCTGGGGTGTTGTGAATGTTAATTGTAAGGCACCTTCAGAATGCTGTATGCCAAGTATTGTATGTCATACTCCACAGTGTTGTTATGGTTTGGGACTTTGGCTAAATAGTACTCAGAGTAGTGGAAATGTTAACAAATCAGTGGTCCTCCTCGCAGGAGCTATTTCACCTATGGCTACTCTCTACTTTTGCTACTCCTGGACTCTTTCCTATGGGGCTTTATTTCCTTGTCAGCCCTCCCATCCCCTGAAAATATTGCTACTCCCTTCCCCTTTGCTCACGCTCCAAGCTACTCCAATAGATTCTCTGTTTCCCCAGTGCTGCTCCAAACTTCAGTTTCTATCCCTTGGATAACCACATAGCCTCCAGCCCATGAACAATCACCACTATTTCCCCTTCCCATCCTACTCACATTGGCTATCTAGCCAGTTTTTTGTCTAAAACTCTTCAGTCTGGATGAACAAAAGCAGTGGTGGACAGTACAGATGCTGTGGGCCAAGAATGCAAGCTCTCTCTAATTAGATGGCAAGTCACTGGCAGAAAAAGGTAGGAGTAAAAGATAAATCACCAAAAACTGCAATGCTGACAAACCAGAGGATAATAGCAGAGAATGCCACTGGATCCTTGGCACGGAGGTGCCAGTTATCTGTTCAAAGTTAATATTATTCATCCAGGACCTTAAGAAATAGTGCATTGACTCATGATTGCTATGCTTTCGTGCTGTAGAAAGTCCTTGAGGTGACATGCACTGAAATGCTCACAAAAGCATGCAGGAACACAGGCAGTGTGACCTAATGAACCAGAACTCAGTTGACCTGGGTTTCATTTCTAGCTCTACTACCAGCCAGCTGGGGCTGGGTGACCGCGGGCAAGTCATTTCGCCTCTCCGTGCCTCAGTTTCCCCCCCTCTTAAAACAGGGCTGCTGATAACGGTCTCCTTTGTAAAGCCTACACGAGCGCTAGCTGTCACTGGTACGGCAAGGGGCACACACACCTGGCAGGGCAGGAGGAGTTTCTAAGCGCCGCTGGCACTTCCTTGCCCAAGGAGCTGCCGCTGCTGGATGCTGCCAGCCCCGGGCAGCCGCTCAGAACCGCGGGGTGCCGCGCTGCGCCGCTGCCCCAGGGCACGGGGCTCCCCGCCAGAGGCCCGGAGGGCTCGCTGCTTTCTGAAGCAGCGGGCGCGGGCGACGGCTGAGCCCGCCTGGCAGCGGCCGGGGCTCTCGCGGGGCTGCTGTGCGCCCGCCCGTCCGAGGGAGCCGGGATCTCACACCCCACAGCCGCCCTCACCTTGGCCACGGCGGGCAGCCCCCTCCCCTTCACACACAGGCGGCGGGACCTTGGCTGCCATGACCTGACAGGGCCCTGGGCGGCGACCGGCGGCGGCGGCTGCCCCCACCCTGCTTTGCTGAGAAACGGGGGAGATGGAGGGACTGAGGACTGGGAACTAGCCGATCCGGACGCGCATGCGCCCGCCACGGCTTCCCTATCACCCTCCACGAGAGGCTCGAGCCCCGCCCCCCCTCGGGTCAGTGCGCACGCGCACTGGGCGTTTCGGTGGGGGGCGGGGGGAGATGAGCGTACTGCTCCCCAATATGGCAGACTTCGACACTATCTATGAGCTGGAGGAGGAGGAGGAGGAGGAGTCCGAGCCGGTGGTGAGGAGCCAGGAGCTGCCCCGGCCCCGAGACGCGCCAGACCCTGTGGCGGTACGGGGCGCCGGGCACATCACCGTGTAAGGCGTAGGGGCTTATGGGGGCGGGGGCGAGTGAGGGGCGGGGGGCAGGTGGAGGGGGGCCTGAGGGAGCGTGGGCAGGAACCCCCCGCGACGGGGGGAGGGAGCTGCGCCGCTCAGAGTCCTTGCTGGCTGCCTTGCTGGGCCGTCGGATCGGTGCTGGTGAGGATGCTGCTGCTGCTGCCGCCGCTGTGGGTGGAGGTGATCAGGAAGAGTTCTTGGCTTCAGGCTGCTCTGTCAACAGTACCACGAATAATGCCACAAAAGTAGCTCCCTGCCTAAGGGCTTTGTGACTATGGCCTGGCTGCCTTACATCTTTATTTCTTTTTTGTATGCTTTGCCTTAGGCTGGGAAATATCCTATTTTCCAGCAACTTGGGCCAACCAAAAAACCCTGTCTGGACACGTGAAATTCACTTATCTATTGTCTGCAGAAAAAATAGCTAACCAGCACTTAATACCTTAGTTTCATTGCTCGAGATGGAAAATATTTCCTGCCTGGGTTAACTTTTAAAGACTACAAGACAACAGAATCAATGGATGATTTAAGTGTCTAGCCCCACAATTTTACTATATTCCTTCTTGGGCTCAACTCAGCCATTGGGTCCCCACACTGTACTGCAGAGAGGGGACATATGGCTATGTTGTATTGTACATTTTAAAAATTTGAGTTACTGAGTTTGATTTTTACTATTTTTAGCATGGGCAGTTCAGAAGTTTTATAATTAGAAGATCTGAAGCAAAATTAAATAAATCCAGGAATTTTGCCAGTATTTTATAGTATCATAATACATAGAATGATCAAGCAGCATAACCCACTGTTATGTCAACTGTTTAAAAATAGGCCACTTCTTGCCAGTGAAGAAATTGAACATAAGGCTGTGTACAAATTATAATTTATTTTACACACTAATTGGGATGGGGAATTATTAGTATTTCACATTTGTGTATTGTAGAACTCCATAAACCATGTTTCATCTTGTGCTTGCGTTCGAACTGTTAAAAGACAATGTATTTCTCTCTGTGGTGTGATCTAATGGTTTGAATCAAAGGCATGGGAAATAAGAGGATCTTGCATCCTGATAGAACCAAAACTAGATTTGATACCAGGGCTTCGGAGCAGAGTCTGCGGAGCAGCAGAGCTGCAGGTTTTTGCCTGGAGCTGGAGCAAAGACAGAGCACAGCTCCAAAGTCCTGTTTGATACTGTGTCTATCTGTAAATCCCCAAATCTGGTTTGGTTTGAGCTAATATTTATGTACAGGTTGTCCCATGGCGCCACAGAATTTCTGCTTGTGCTGATGGAGATCCCCTCTATGATGACATCATTCTCCAAGGCATTCTTTTATTTATATTTTTGTGGTGTACTGGGAGCTTTCAAAACACAAAAATACAAAGTTCCTGCCCCAAATAGCATACAGCCTAAAAAGGACAAAGGGTGGCGATAAAAGGGATGTAACACAGCAGCAAAGTGATTGGAATGGTAGGCACATGTCTTACTAATTATGCAGTTAATATTTAAAGCATGTTTTAGATAAAAATTAGCCTCAATCACACATTTGTTTACTTCTCCCACAACTTTCAGAGGAACCTTTTCTTTCTCCCACAACTGTCTTTGTGCTCTCTTCCCTAATGCCTGTTTGCATCAGTGCCTTCACTGATCCTTAGATCTGCTTCTCATTCAGTTCCCTTCTCACAACCCAGCTCTAGTGTGATACCTACAAGAAATCTGCCAATTAGTGATGTCTAAATCAGGGGTAAAAGAAAGCAATATGTTAAATGATTCATTATTATCAAGTTGTGTATTTGGCCTATATAACTGCATGATCTTATTATTGGTATTCTCATCCTCCCTCCGAACCTCTTTGAATAAGAAAGGTATGACAAATAGAAGTGCTGGTATAGTGGTCTTTATTTCCTAGTCCCAGTCATGTGATACAGGTCACTCTTACATCTTAAGTCACCTCAAACTAATACAACCGGTTAATAAGCACAGTCAATTAATAAAACTCAAATAGCCTCTAGAAGGTCAGAGTAGGTGATGCTGACCCCCTGGCAAATGAGAACTATTGTGCCTCTTAATGGACTCTGTCAGTACATGCCATCTCTGAACTTTAGTCACTTTGTGATCTTAAAGCCACTTCTTCTGTTGGAAACAATACCTTTCAGAAGTGGCCTGTTGGATAGGTCACCAGGAGGCTTGTTTGTCTCTTGAAGATGCCTAGAATGCTCCTAATAGCATTCCTGTTCTGACAGAAGTAATACAAGCTCACCTAGTCAGTAAAAAAATCATAGGAAGACACAGAGACTCATTCTACTCCTTGGGTTTTATTTTGATGTCTTCTGTTCTTCCTTTAGAACTGCCCCTCATGGATGGTTATTATGTATGATCCTGGTACAAATGATATAACGTATCTTGACGGGTTGCCAGCCACTTTGGAATCTTGGCATTATCTACCACTTGCAATGGGCAGAAGATAATTGTTCTTATTCCCATCTAACCTTCAGGTCCAGTGTCCCTGAATGTAATTACTTGAGGGTTAATAGGCTCAAGAAACTTGTTAAATATTGGGCATAAAACTTTAGCACCATGGTGATCCTAGTGAAGCACTTTAAGGTGGCCTGCAATATGCTACAATACTAAATATGGATCTCCGGATTCCACCAAGGCCTTTTTTTATCAAGTTTTTTTGCTATTTGTACTGATTCTTCTGCTAACCTTTTGCCTGTGCATTTTAAGGGCTAGATAGACATCATGTTCTTCAGCTGATATTATAGTGGGTGCTAGTTGCAACCTGTATGTTTAGGTTGCCTAACACTTTCAGTTTTAAAAGATAGGAAATGCCTATGCTACCTTAATTCTGCCCCTTTTGCATATGCATTATGGTATGATCTTCAATGGCATTGTATACTAGTTTTTCCACAAGACCCCTGAATATAGTGTACAGGATGGATGGTGATCAGGGAATGGGGCAGCTGTTCGGTATCTTTTTATCCTCAGCATTCAATGTGTGATCTTTGCCTTGTTTACTGCATACCATTGAAACCCTATACCAAATACAAAATTAACTATTCCCTCATGGCCTTTACTGGACCATTCATCGCTGCAGAATCTATCTCCACATCTGTCAGCAAGATTCATAGAATTCTCCCCATTTTACAAATGGTGAAAACTTATCTGAGGCCACACATTGAATCAGTGGCAGAGGCAGAATTAGAATTCAGGATCTCCTGTCTACCAAATCTATGCTAATACCTTTCTATCAGAGATGCTAAGCATCCACAGCTCCCACTGATTTCAGTAGCAGTTGTGAATGTTCATTAATTTTGCGTATCAGACCCCATGTGTGTCAAGTTGCACACCTACAGAACAACACAGAGTTAGTGGCCACCTACTAAAATTTTCATTTAAATGACTTGTAGGACAAATACTTAGTTTCATCTGGCAAAAACTACTTTGCTTCACTTGCTATTTTTAGAGTTGGTAGGGGATAACTATGATCTGTGTCTGCTGTGACTGGAGAAAGCCAATGAGGAAGTGCTAGAGCCACTAATACAGTTGATTACCAGTCTCCTTGCACAGGCCTCTCTTAACCAGTTTATGGTTTGCTCCTTACTCAAGACTCCATCTCTTGAAGCTGACAGCCTCTTCACTTATTGTTGTGTTTCAGTTCTTCCTCCTCTGGGATGATCAACTCATTTTGTGAACTTGGACAAGTACTCAGCCTTCTTATGACATATGCCCATCTATACTGAGGCTTGGAAGAATTAGATTTTTTACCGGTAAATATCAGTGAACATCAATTTCACTGTACATACACAAACCAACAAAAAATATTTCCATAATTGAAATTTTGATTATCAGACAGGCAAAATAAGCAAAATGTTGCTTGAGAACTTAAGGATTTGATTTAAGGATATTTACTTTGTATATTTTGACATGTACAACTGTGAAGATTTAAATCCATAAAAATTGAAAAAATGATTACAAATAAACACTATTATCTGTAAAATTATTTAAAAAAATCAAATTCTACCAAGCTTATCTATGTACAGGTTTTTGACGTAGTCCCACACAAGTGACATAGTCACACACACTCATAAGCAAACTAGGGAAATGTGGTTTAGATGCAATTACTATAAGGTGAGTACACAACTAGTTGAAAGACCATATTCAGAGAGCAGTTATAAAATATCAGTGATTTGCTGTCAAATTGGGAGGGTGTATCTAGGGGGCCCTGTAGGGTTCAGTCTGGGGTCTGGTATTAGTCAATATTTTCGTTAATGACTTGGACAATGGAGTGGTGAGTCTGCCTGTAAAATTTGTGGATGGCACCAAGCTGGGAGGGGTTGCAGGCATTTTGGAGGATAGGATTAGAATTCAAACTGACCTTGACAAATTAGAGAGTTGGTCTGAAATCAAGAAGAAATTCAATAAAGACAAATGCCAAGTACTTCACTTAGGAAGGAAAAATCAAATTCACAACTATAAAATGGGGAATAACTGGCTAGGTGGTGGTACTGTTGAAAAGCATTTGGGGTTATAGTAGTATCACAAATTGAATATGAGTCAATGTGATGCAATTGCAGAGAAGACTAATATCATTCTGGGGTGTATTAACAGGATTTTCATAATTAAGACACCGGAGGTAATTGTCCCATCTTCTTGTCACTGGTAAGGCCTCAGCTGGAGTCCTGTGTCCAGTTCTGGGTGCCACACTTAAAAGGAAGATGGGGATAAATTGGAGAGGGTCCAGAGCACCGCAACAAACTGGATAAAAGGTTTAGAAAACCTGACCTATTGAGGAAAGATTAAAAAAACTGGGCATGTTTAGTCATGTAAAAAGAAGACTAAGGGGAAACCTGATAACAGTATTCAAATATGTTCAGGACTGTTATGAAGAGACAGTGATCAGGTTTTCTCTACCTCCACTGAAGGTAGGACAAGAAGTAACGTGCTTAATCTGCAGCAAGGGAGTTTAGGGTAGATATGAGGAAGAACTTTCTAACTATAAGTGTATTTAAGCTCTGGAATAGGCTGCCAAGGGACATTGTGGAAACCCTGTCATTGGAAGTTTTTAAGAACAGGTTGGACAAACATGTGAGGGGATGGTCTAGGTTTATTTGGTCCTGCCTTAGGGCAAGGGGATGGACTGGATGACTTTTTGAGGTCCCTTCCAGCCTGACGTTTCTATGATTCTATGTTATAATTCACACGTAGGTCCTAGAAAGCCTGCCTTCTAGTGGTGGACTCAGAGACCGCAAACCACTTAACAAAGAGAGTATTACGGGGTGACTAGATTACAGTTTGTAAGTATCTAAACGGGAAACAAATATTTAATAATAAAACTCTTCAGACTATCAGAGAAAGGTACATAATCCAATGACTGGAAGTTGAAGCTAGTCAAATTCAGACTTGAAATAAGCCATACATTTTTGACACTGAGAGTAATTAATCATTGGAATAATTTGCTAAGGGTCATGGTGGATTTTCCATCACTGACAATTTTTAAATCAAGATTGGATGTTTTTCTAAAACTGCTCTAGGAATTTCATTTGGGGAAATTCCATGGCCTCTATTATAGAATAGGTCAGACTAGATGAACACAGTGGTCTCTTCTGGCCTTGCAATCTGTGGATCTGAATTCAGGGCTCAGAAATTATTGTTGCTAGTAGGCTTGTTGAATGGCTTCCCTGGCTGCTGTGAGTGGGGATTTTGGTTATCTGAGAGCTACATTTTAGAACATGAAGCATGGTTCTTAGAGGGAACTTCTAGGCACACAGCAGTAAAAGTATGCTAGAACCCTGCAAGCAACTGCTGTCTAAACTTACTTGTATTTAGCATAGTTTTCTTCCCAAAGTAGACAAGGTCTCAGACATCTCATCTGTAAAAATGACTAAGAGAATCTGGTTGTAAACAGTTGAGCTTTCTTTGGTGTGTTATACATTAAAATTTTTATTTCAAATTGGGGGGAATGTTTTTGGGACTGATACAGTAGTGATGATCGAAGGTGTGCTACAATTATGCCTTCAAAGTCCACTCAGTAAAATATATGGTACTCTTTTAGAAAAGCACTTGTCATTCTTACCAAATGTAATTGAAAAGTACTAATCTATTTTTCCCCATTGGTGGGGTTGTTTGTGCTGAAGGAATTTTAAAGGGGCATAAATCAGTGATTATCTCCAGAATTATATCAAGTGCCTCAATTTTCAAAATGGGGTATCTAAATACAATTATATTGTCTTATTTTATTGCTCAGATTTTGTAAACTGATTAGATCCCATCATTGCTAATAGTTGGGAAATCTCATAGTAGATGCTCAAGAACAGACTTTTTTTAGTTGCCAATGGTTATGCAATATATTTGTACACCTAATTTTTTTCCTTAAGATTAAATAAAGACTATCTTACTACTCTTTTAGTTTTTGTAGTATTAAATAAGAAGACACACTGAAAATGGATTCTGGCATGTCAAATTACATTTGCCGAAAGTGGAAACATGATAAAGTTTAGTAACCTTTGTGTTTGCCTAAATGCTTAAAGGTAATCCAAAACAAACATGAGTTTAATTTAAGAATTAGCGTTTACAGTGAAGATTAATTGAAATTAACTCTTTATAAATATTAATGAGAAATTTCTGCTTTTGACTTGTAGTACTTCTGCTTTCTGTTACTAGATTTATAATGTTTCTTTAGCACCATGATTCTGAAATTTGTCTTTTACAAACTGTAGTCTTGGGTTTCTATTGCTGTGCGTAAGAACTATTAATACACTTAATGAGAAGTAGTACGCTAATGTTTATACTAAATAAGAAATAAAAAAGCGCAGATACTTGAGGAAGAAAGACAAAAAGGACAAAAACACTTCTGTAAAAGTTGGACCATTGAGCAGACTTATGGAGTAACCACACGACACTTCAGCTGCTTAACCAGCTGACTTCTAGAATTTAAGTTTGCATTTGAATGTCTTATTGACACCCCTTAAATGAAACTAAATGACCACCTAGTTTTATTTAAGCATAGCATCAGGTGTGCATTTGAGGTGCAACCTCAGGTATACTTTTATGTATATCTGATTTTTTTAATTGCATATTTTATGCAGGTACTGCTTTTAATAGACTACTAGCACCATGTCTCTGACTATTAAATTAGCTATTGGAATGCTTTATAAGACTTCACTAGTACTGTTCACAAACATTGTAATGAGCTTAGTTATAGAGTTTTTCTGAGACTGCACCAGTTTTCTTTGTTATGCTTCACTTTTTTTTAGAGTTAATTATGCACTAATCTACATTGCTGATTTCATGAGTTGAATCAGTGATACTAAGACCTGAGTGGTTCAGGAGCCAAATTAGTGATCAACATTACCCAAGAGTAATATGAATTATAAATAATTCTCACAGCCTAACTTAATTGGTTAATAACATAGTAAAAGCATCCTGACTGGTTGTTAACTTAAATTGGTTAATAATTAAATCACACAGTGTTTTAAGAATGACAGGTTTCAGAGTAACAGCCGTGTTAGTCTGTATTCGCAAAAAGAAAAGGAGTACTTGTGGCACCTTAGAGACTAACCAATTTATTTGAGCATGAGCTTTCGTGAGCTACAGCTCACTTCATCGGATGCATGCCGTGGAAACTGCAGCAGACTTTATTTATACACAGAGAATATGAAAAAATACCTCCTCCCACCCCACTGTCCTGCTGGTAATAGCTTATCTGATGATCACTTTAGATAAAGTGATGATCACTTTAGATAAGCTATTACCAGCAGGACAGTGGGGTGGGAGGAGGTATTTTTTCATATTCTCTGTGTATAAATAAAGTCTGCTGCAGTTTCCACGGCATGCATCCGATGAAGTGAGCTGTAGCTCACGAAAGCTCATGCTCAAATAAATTGGTTAGTCTCTAAGGTGCCACAAGTACTCCTTTTCTTTTTACAGTGTTTTAATTATGTACTGCAAAGGGTCACAAGAGACACACTAAAGAGCCACTTGCAGCTCACAGGCCTCACTCTGAGTATCACTGTGTTAAATTGTCAGGTTTGAGTGTCTGTGGTATTATGGTATGCAGAATGGTAGTGGACATGTGTGGTGGTCAGCAATATTGGCATTTGCATAGATGAGTGACGTAACTTTGAGGGGAGAGAACTTGTGATTTATCTTAATCTTTGTTTTTGGAGGCTTGTTATGCATATTCTCCCACTCCCCCCAAAAAACTTAAAGATTGCTACAAGAAATATAACTACAAAATGCATCAAAGGAATATTATGATTAAAAGGAAAGGGTTGGAAGTAACCAGATAAGATAATTTAGCAGGGTTTGTAGTGAAGCACTAAACTCAGTGCACAGTAAACAGCTTTGTTTCTTCAAGTATAAAAGTTTGTAGCTCAGTGAGGCCATGGGCTACCTGTATATTTCAGTGCCCTGTAGAACTGTGAAGGATAGAGCTTCACAGGAGAAGAACCCAGCAATCATAACAAAGCCACAGGGTGCTTGCTGAGTGGCAGGATTAGCCTCTGAACCTATTTAACTTCTTAGCTTTATACTTGTAAAAAGAAAGCAGCTTACACCTCACCAAGTGACATGTTTAAGCAAGAACCTGGCACTCTACAAGCCAATTTACTTACTAAACTGATTAAAATTTTCAGTTTGTGTAGGATCAGGAGCTACTCCTATCTCCAATTCCCTTGCAGAGCTACTAAGCTCTGCAAGATACCTGGCTCCCTTTAGGTTTCACTGCCTATTGTTGAGCAATGTTTAAACTTTACATGAATACTTTGCTGATAGATATCCAGCCACTCTTTGTTGATGAATGTAAAATTTATTTTGCTTAAAATTCATATTTCTTAAAATCTGTGATATGCATGAGTATTCATAGGTATTGCATGTGTGAATTTACTTCAACTTAATATAACTATTCTTAAATATTAGGCTACTGGTTTTGTATAGGGAAGACAAACTAGTTTTTATTATTTATTTATTGCTAGATATATCTGCTATATGTGAATTAGTGACATGAACAGGCACAAACTAATAACTTGTATAAAATGATTAATTGGACCTCTTCAAATTGGAATTGGAGTCTAACATAAATAGTATTTTTTTTAAGAATCTCAGATTTAAATTTGGATTACTGCTATTTTCTGAGAATTCTTTGTCTGGCTATCTGTTTAAAAATTACTTGCTTCAAGAAGGCGACAAGCTACATTTCTAGTCACAATTTTTTTTCTGTAAAAGCATTTTAGTTGTAAAAACACTTTTTAAATTCATGAAATCTTGCATAATATGTTAATAGTACAAACAAAAATATGGGAAAACATTCTACTCTCATTCTTTTTTTCCTTAAACACCAAATCAAGTGTTGCATAACATATTTTTAAAAGGGAAACAAATAAGTTGGATGGAATATATTTTGTTGTCTCTTTTGTCTTCCAGGTTTGGCTTGAGCAACAAGTTTGACACAGAATTTCCCTCTGTCCTGACAGGAAAAGTAAGTCTGAGTTTGCATTGAAATTTTGAATTCAAAAGACAGTTCATCTAATAGTTTGTGCATTACAAATGTCTAGAAGCATTATTCTTGAATTCAAGTAGAATAAGTCTAAGCCAAATCCCTTCCAGGTCAGTACTGACAGGAGGTTGTTACTGTCTGCCACTCTGTCCTACATGAACCAATTTGGCAGTCGCTGCCCAGTTCCTAGTGCACATGTCCACATCATAAAAACTACTCACCACAGTTGCAGTCATTGCCAGTCTGAGCAAAGAAGGACCAAGGGGGTCTGACGTCACCTACAGTATCTACACTCCTCTATAGGCAGTCTCTTCAAAACATGACAATGGCACACCCTGGGTTTATGGATCCTGTGCTACCAGTTGTGTGGATTAAATAAAGGACTTCAGTGCCTTTCAGTCTGGTTTCTCTCTCAAGCACTGAATTCACTTTTAACGCTTTTTTGGGGTGGGGGTGGGAGGCGGAATTCCATTTCTCCATAGACAGTCTGGTCTCCAGTGTAAGCCTGTAAATGAAAAAAAGTTTGATCCTTTTGCTAAGTAGATCTATAGTTATTTGGTCATTTGTAGAGATGATCTTTTGCAGAAGAAAAAGTACAGTCGCCTCACCACGTTTTTGGAGGAAATTCTCCCACTTTTCATAGTATTCTGTATCTCGACTGACAGAGGTTCGCAGAAATCCCCTTTTTAAATTGATAGTCATCTATTAATGAAATGTTATGAGCAGATTCTTGGTTCTTGCTTTAAAACCTTTTCTTGTTCATACATTACCTCTGTTTCAGATTTGTTCTGACTTTATGACTTGTCTTTCATACCTTTAAATTCAGTTACATTACTCTAACTTTTCCCTTTGTTTCATCCCATACTGTACTATTCCCTTTCAGAATATGGGGACGGAAGGTTCAGCTCTTGTTACTCTCCCTAATGACAAAGCATGTAGCTAAGGTCTGCTACTGACTTTGCACTCACTATTGAGTCATATTAACATTGTACATAAATGCATTTGGATGGCATTGTCTGTCTGGTTCTGACAAATCCACCTATTTCTCCTCCTGGAACATGATGATTATGAAAATACTGAGTCTCTGTCCTACATATTATTTGACAGCAGTTGAATTAAATGGTGGAAAAGCCGGTTTCCATTTGGATTTTCAAGGTGTCAGAAGGCAACCTGGTAAATCTGGGCCTAATCCAGATTTCACTGAAGTAGGGAAAGGATCTTGTTGACTTCCTTGGGTTTTGAACCAGACCCCGTTTCACTAAAGGGGTTTTTGCCACGTTACATGTTGGTGTATTCTCCTGGGTCTTGAGTTAAACTTTCAGAATAATTCCTTGATGTAAGGCAACAAACGAAACTTGATTTGAAAAGAATGTGAAAATTCAACAGATGTTTCAAATAAGCATATTTTTCTATAAATGAAGCTACAAGTACGGAAAATTTCATGAATAATTGTTAAAGCATAATTCAATATTGAAATTAACAAATGCTAGTTTAAATAAAACTTTAATGGAAACATCAGCATCTCTCTCATTTTCCTCTTAATGGTGTTTGCAGCGTTAACTGGTTTTATGCGCATTCTCCAGGTTCAATAGCAAAAGTTTTCATTACAGGTCAACTGACTTTTCTCTTCTTTAGGTTCAGAGGGAAAAAATAGAAGTTGACTGGTTTCTTATATCCTCCTTTCATTCTTACTTGTTGAGGGCTTTCATATGATTTTGTAAATAATACATCATATCTGATCTAACTGGGTGCAGGATACAGTAGAACCTCAGAGTTACGAACACCTCAGGAATGGAGGTTGTTTGTAACTCTGTAAAAAACATTATGGTTGTTCTTTCAAAAGTTTACAACTGAACATTGACTGAATACAACTTTTAAATTTTACTATGCAGAAAAAAATGCTGCTTTTAACCATCTTAATTTAAATGAAACAAGCATAGAAAGCTTCCTTACCTTATCAAAACAAAATTAAACTTTTACCTTTATTTTTTAGTAGTATTTAGTCATTTTTTTTACATTTAACACAGGACTGTCTTGTGTTTTGTTTTGTTTTTTTCCTGCTGCTACCTGATTGTGTACTTCTGGTTCAGGTGTGTGGTTGACTGGTCAGTTCAAAACTGGTGTTTGTAACTCTGAGGTTCTACTGTACATTTTTTGTTTTCAGAAATCAGAATCTGTATTTTTACCTTTTTCCCACACCAATTTGAGGAGCTGTTCTCAATTATAGAAATGTTGAAATAAACAAATAGTCTCCTGTGGGATAAAAAGTAGGGCTGTCAAGTGATTAAAAAAATTAATCGCAATTAATCATGCGAATAATTGCACTGTTGATAATAATACCATTTATTTAAATATTTTGGATGTTTTCTACATTTTCAAATATATTGATTTCAATTACAACACAGAATACAAAGTGTACGGTGTTCACTTTATATTTATATTTTATTACAAATATTTGCATTGTAAAAAACAAAAGAAATAGTATTTTTCATTCACCTAATACAAGTACTGTAGTGCAATCTCTTTATCATGAAAGTTGAACTTACAAATGTAGAATTATGTACAAAAAATAGCTGCATTCAAAAATAAAACAATGTAAAACTTCAGAACCTAGAAGGTCCATTCAGTCCTACTTTGTGTTCAGCCAATTGCTCAGACAAACAAGTTTGTTTACATTTGCAGAAGATAATGCTGCCCACTTCTTGTTTACAATGTCATCTGAAAGTGAGAACGGGCATTCATAAGGCACTGCTATAGCCAGCGTCGCAAGATATTTATGTGCCAGATACAGTAAAGATTCATATGTCCCTTCATGCTTCAACCACTTTTCCAGAGGACATGCATCCATGCTGATGATGGGTTCTGCTAGATAATGATCCAAAGCAGTGTGGACCAACACATGTTCATTTTCATCATCTGAGTCAGAGGCCACCAGCAGAAGGTTGATTTTCCTTTTTGGTGGTTCGGGTTTTGTAGTTTCAGCATCAGAGTGTTGCGCTTTTAAGACTTCTGAAAGCATGCTCCATACTTGGTCTCCGTCAGATTTTGAAAGGCACTTCAAACTTGGATCGAGTGCTGTAGCTATCTTTAGAAATTTCACATTGGTATTTTGTCAAATCTACAGTGAAAGTGTTCTTAAAATGAACAACATGTGCTGGGTCATCATTTGAGACTGCTATAACATGAAATATATGGCAGAATGCAGGTAAAACATAACAGGAGACATACAATTCTCCCCAAAGGAGTTCAGTCATAAATTTAATTAATGCATTATTTTTTTAACGAGCGTTGTCAGCATGGAAGCATGTCCTCTGGAATGGTGGCGGGAGCATGAAGAAGCTTCCAAATATTTAGCATATCTGGCATGTAAATACCCTACAATGCCAGCTACAAAAGTGCCATGCAAATGCCTGTTCTCACTTTCAGGTAACATTGTAAATAAGAAGCGGATAGCATTATCTCCCGTAAACGTAAACTAACTTATTTCTCTTTGTGATTGTCTGAACAAGAAGTAGGACTGAGTGGACTTGTAGGCTCTAAAGTTTTACATTGTTTTGTTTTTGAATGCAGTTGTGTAACAAAAAAAAGTCTACATTTGTAAGTTGCACTTTCACGATAAAGAGATTGCACTATGGCACTTGTATGAGGTGAATTGAAAAATACGATTTCTTTTGTTTATCATTTTTACAGTGCAAATATTTGTAATAAAAATAAAGTGAGCACTCTACGCTTTGTATTCTGTGTTGTAATTGAAATCAATATATTTGAAAATCTAGAAAAACATCCAAAAATATTTAATAAATTTCAATTGGTATTCTAGTGTTTAACAGTACAGTTAATCACGATTAATTTTTTGAGTTAATCGTGTGAGTTTACTGCAATTAATCGATAGCCCGAATAAAAAGCAAATAATTTCTCTTGCTAACTGCCAGCTACTATCATCTTTGGTTTTGAAGAAGAATCTTGTGCTCAGGTGAATTACAAGAAGCAAACATGCACATGGCAGTTGGCCATTTGTTGATCTATTTTAAAAAAACGAAAACATGTCTGTTTAAATTCAGTATAAATGTATTTTCAGTGGCACCCAAAGTTCACAAGGGTGAATTTTGCAGTCAGTTGTTCCATTTATTTTAAAAATAAATGTAATGTAAAAAGCATCAGAATGATTGTGCTCTGGAAGTTATACATAGCATAGTCCCTTCTTTAGTCAACCATTCTATTGTTAAGATTTATAAGAATTCTTTGTTAAGAATAATGCACAATGCAATAAAACAAAGTAGTATTTTATTCAGAACACAGGCATAACAATGTAATAGATCTGTGAGTTCATAATATCCAGTCCAGCAGCTTGGATGCATTAGTTAAGCCATTGGATGTGGGCTGTGTTTTCTTTTATAATAAATATTACTGGAGGAAAACCCAAAGATAAATCTGTAAAGTAACAATAAAGGTCTAATTTTTAACAAGATGCTGTCTAGGAACTGTCTCCCAAAAAATATTAACTCTGGAATTATGATACTGGCTCAAGTTGTGACTCGGGGAAATTCGCTTAACCTGTGTAAGCCTCAGTTTCCTCCTCTGTAACACGAGGATAGTAATATTTAAACTTTGAAGTGCTTCTGAGATCTATGGACAAGTGCTGTTGAAGTGCTATGTATTCTTATTATTACAACACTAATCTGTTTCTTAACTGAAATATTCCCCCATTGTTTACAGGTACTGGTTATTATAGAGTTCTGGAGTGCTAAGATGTAGAGTAAATAAGAGAACATAAAATAGTAAACTGAAAAGCACACTGAAGCATTGCTCTCTTTTTTGGGGAAATGGGCACATGTGTAGTGGAAGTTATATGGACTCTGAAAACAGATATAAAGGGGGAAAGTTTCAGGTGGGTCAAAAATTGGGCCTACTAATCTAGTCAGCTTCTCATCTTTCAAGATAAACCGATACTAACCTTAACACATCTACCTAGGTAGAACTGG